ATAAAACTATAATTAGCTACATGAATTAAAAAAAAAATTAACAAATTATCTTCGCATAATAAATCTAATATCTCAACTCTGGCGCATCCTTAGCGTGACATCGAAAATCAGTTAACTGGGCGCCGTGGTCAAGTATAGACGACACACTGATGACGTCATAAGCGATTAGCGGGAAAATTAGTGCAGTGCAACATGAACGATTCCTCAGAACTCATTCGGATTTTGGAAAGCGTCGACGATGATGAATTTTCGGAAATTTAAAATCATCGTGAAACCAAAGTTTTTCGTTTTCGATTAACTCTACCTCAATGAGGTAGGAATACACTTTATAGTCTTTTTACGGTTAATTTCTTTTTTATAGCATAGGGTAATAAACGAGCACACAGTCCACCTAATGGTAAGTGGTTGCTGTGGCCCATAGACATTTACATCTATCCTCGATTACGAATCAAAATGCAGATGCGCTCTCACCCGTGAGGACTTAGATGGAATGCCTCGTTTCCAGTAAAGAGGGTCTCCGGTTCTCTACACTTACCATACGAAATACAGCAGCATTAAGCTACTATTTGATGCCGATATTCCGTGAGAGCGTGGTTCTTCCCCGGTTGAGCCGACCCATTCGTGCTACAACTACTAACTCCCGTAATATAACTGCAGCATGGCTCTACCACGTTAGAAAATTTGCTTTGGCCAGCTAAACATTTATGTTTTATTATTCCATAAGATTTTTATTATTTTAAGACTAATATTACCTATAATTTATTAATATTTTTAATTGTTGTTTTCTATATTAAGTACTGATTGAGTTAAAGACCAAGATTTTAATATTTTATGACTAGACCTAGTGCAAATAATTATTTACAATTGTTGAATAATTATGTACCCTTTGTTGATTTCTGTAATAAGTACTGATTTTTTTATTCCATGACCAAGATTTTAATATTATAAGACTGATTTTTCTAGTGCGAATAATTACCTATATACAGTTGTTGATTAGTGAATACGTACCTTTTCTATTTTAATAATATAAAATTACAAATAATAAATGTGTTTCTTTACTTAAGGTATGAAGAGCAATTTTCATTTTGTGTTGTGCGATTTTCTTTCTCAATCTCAAAATCATTTAGCAACATCAGTATCATATGAAACCCCCTTTATCATAAGAGCGTAAGACTTTTCTTCTGTGATTCACTTGGCCTACGCCTTGCCATAAAATATTTTGAATAGATGTCTGTATATTTTGGTTACATCGATTTTGAAATCGATACACAACGTGCGACACGGCTACATCTCTAAGAAAGTTTCAAAAAGAAAGGTCAGCTACGCCGTTGTCGTCCAGTCGTGACAGTGACGTCATCACGACGGAGAGTAGTGTTGTGGTTTACTACTATTTTATTGTTATTGTTTGTTTTTTATTTATGTACAAAGTACATATATAAAAAGAGTGGAAGACAGCACAAGATTAAATAAAACATATCCGATTATAAAGACTCATTTATTGTATAAAAAACCAACAAAAACAAGTTATTTTGTGTTATCGATATATCAACTCTTGGCAGCACTGTTTTCTTCGTAGGTATTTTTGTTTACTTTTCGCTTTGGCGTACAGGACACGGTAGTGAATTTTTGGCGTGGCGCTCAAAAGGTTAACCAGGCTTAAATTGTCGGCGACAAGTGTTGTTTGCCCGGTGTCTAAGGTACAAAAAAATTAATACCTAAAACAGGAAATGCCCACGTCAAGCAGGCGCATAATATACAACCTTTCAGTTTTTTACAGGATACATTTGGGAGTGTGTACACAGAAATTGCGTGACATAATTCCTCCCTTTCCACTCCATCATAGAACCACCAGATGCTCGGTGGGTCTCCACCCATTTATTGTGGACATACCACGCATTCGAACCAAACAGTTTTGCTTCGTCGTTAATAATACTTACAGCAATCATCATCATCATTACAGCCCTTCACACGTCCACTGCTGAACATAGGCCTCCCCCAAGTAATGCCACAAAGCACGGTCCTGAGCCACCTGCATCCATCGACTTCCTGCATATCTTACCAGGTCGTCACTCCATCTTGCGGGGGGTCGCCCTACACTTCGCTTACCGGTACGAGGCTGTCACTCGAGAATCTTTCTTCCCCATCGGTTATCGGTTCTTCGAGCTATATGGCCGGCCCATTGCAAGTTCAGCTTACCAATCTAATTCGGGGATATAACGTCACCATGTCCTACACCTCTCTGCAGTTGGATAGGTTTTGAACTCTGGTTCTGTACTCGGATAGCCATCGTAGCCCTACTGTACAAACACCTCAGCACTTCGATATAGGTACCGACAGTCAACTTGGTACCGCTGAAGGGAATGTGGCACCGCCCAAATTTCGACGGAATCGAATGCTTTCTCATAATCCACATACGCCAGGCAAAGTGGCAGATTGTACTCTTCGGTCTTCTGTACAATCTGCCGCAGGGTATGTATGTGGTCTATGGAACTGAAGCCTTTTCGGAAACCGGCTTGTTCGGGTTACTGCGGTACTTACAGCAAAGGAGTGGAATAATCTACTAGCTTCCGTTTTTTCTTAGTCATAATGTGGGTGTCTTCAAGACATTAAGTCTTGTCTTGAATTCTGATCAAATGAAAAGCATATAAAGGCTTTTGTTAAGCTGAGTCTTTGCCATCACAGTGATTTTTACCATCTTCGGCTGCACCACCACTTACGATCAGGTGGTATAATAGTCAAGTTGACTGTTACAGGCTGACAAATAAAATTATAATATATAATGTTAAAAGTCAAAGACTTAAAAAAACACCCTTAATTAGTATTCATTTTAATTTTGATAGATTTAAAATAATCATTTGTGTAGACAACTTTATAAAATCTTAATGATATATAACAATTCTTAAAAATTATAAATGCGGAGGCATAGAGCAACACGGGCCACCAGCGCAGCTTATACTTTGAAAGAGGGAACGCCTGCGGCGTTCATAATTATATAATTTTATGTACCTAAATTTTTACAAAAAAAATAATAATAATAAAATACGTTGTATCACCTATATATCTGTCCGTCATGAAAAGTCATCAATAAACTTAACGTCATACTAGTTTGTTATCCCTTTACTTTTATCTATACTTATATTCTCGTCTCTTTCTATTGTCATTTGAGAAAATGAGAGGTAGGGGGAGAGAGGGGATGCAGAGAGAACAACTGTAAGTATTTCTTAATTTTTACGCGTGAAGTCTTAATGTTTTAACAATGAATATTTTCCGATATCAGTTCACCGAGATTAATCGAACCTCGAATTTAGGCATAATTTAAGGTCGGAAGGTCTGTGCACCAATCAGAGCAGAACTAAAATAGCGCTAACATTAACTGCGTTCATTTCCAGCACGCATGGTGTGTGATGCAAAAAACCTCCGTAACGGAAAAGATACTTAAAAAATATTAAAATCAACAACACAAAATAAAACAAGACATAAATACGTAAGTACCTTAAAAACTAATTGACAAATCACTTATACCTAATTTCTATAACTAAAACATTTTATTTTTCATTACGACCCATCGTGCAGTGCAAACGTGTGTTTTATTTTAAATTATCTTATATTGACAATGGGTTGCCAAATAAACGTTCTTTACAACCAGTTGATATAAAATAAAACGGATCTATGCCATATAGAATCTAGATCTATGCTATAAGATCTAGATCGATGCGTTTGTTGAAGATAGTTGAGGAGCGTTTACTTTAAAATTTCTCAGTAAGTGGTCAAGTCAAGTTGGATCCTCGTCGGCACTATGGAAATAATGATTTCAGTTTTAGCACAAGTTTTTGGCAACACGCCTTGAGCCACACGGTGATAGGAGCTCTTAGCCATATTTTCAAAAAAGAGAGAATACCTACGGACGCGTTACATTACTTTTTATAGTCAACCAAATCTAAGAAATACCTTTTGACGTTTCACAATTAATCACTCCGCAATAACTTTGCACAAGCTTACTCACACGATTTAAAATAACCTTTTACGTAAATCCGAAGAATTATGAAGTTATCTATATTTTATTACAATGTATATAGTTTTTATTACTAATTTAAATTCGAATCTTTCAAACAAAGCATCTCGTCATTATCCGTTTTTAATTTATTCTCGTACTATTCAAACCAAACTAAATGATTACATACTACCTACGTACTAATCTCTAAATAATCGATATCGATTTTTTTAAGAATCGAATTGTACGTTCCAGTTTTTCGATCGGCATGCTTGGTGCAATAAGTCTGACAGCTGTCAAAATGTATTTCTTAGATTTGGTTGAATGTAAGGACCGAAAATCACGAGCCCTATATAAATTATAAACACCCCTGCATCCTTAAATTTTACCCCGTTTCAATTATTACAGAGATTACTGGTGTGATTACACCACGTGCATATCTATGAATTATACTAAACGAAATACACGCTTAATTTTGTAAATGACCCAATAGAAAATCGAGTTTGACACCCCTGCCTTGCTCTATCGTCATTGGACGCCTAAAAAGACAACAACTTGACTTTGAATGAGGGCTAATAATCTTCCCAGATGAAATTATTTGTCAAAAATAAAAAAATTGTATTATAAATAAGTCTTTCGCTTACTAGTGTATGTACGTACGTATTCACAAAATAATACTAAAGATAATGTTATCTCATTAGGTCTTCTATTTGCTTCTATTTGCTTGTGCGGCAACCCTTAATACAGCATATACAGCTGTGTTTAGGGTTACCACACAAAAATGGTACTAATTACTAAATTATATTGATATATTAATATCACAAGTCAGCAGTATGAGCTATTTCTAAATATACCGTACCGTAATGATTTCTTTTACTAGCGGCACTTACTTATGATTAAGTGAAAGTATTAAGCAAACAATATGAGTACAATTTTATAGAAAAAAACTTAAAATAAAGAAAAATTTTTATCAACTTAAAATTAATTATATCACAGAATAAGGTTCTAATTATTTTTCAAACTCAAAATGTGGTGCCAATAAGCGCAACCGGTCCAGCAATACGTCCGCCAGATTTTGTGTGGGGTCAGTATCTGAAAAACATTATTTTATATTATTATTAATTTATGCGTATAAATTAATAAATATTTAACATAATTAATTTATAAGTGTAATTATAATTTATACGTGGTAAACTAAGCTGCAGCTATATTAAGTTTGTAGCACGTATAGGTCAGCTTATCCTGGGAAGAACCACGCTATCACAGAATCACCATCATCATCATCATCACTGCAGCCCTTTACGAGTCCACTCAAAGAATACCAGCGTAACATATCAGCTCAATACTAAAAAAATAATATAATAATGCTGCTGTGTTTCGTATGGTGAGTGTAGAAAACCGGAGACCCTTTTTAATCCACCTGAGTCCTCTGGGGTGATGACGCATCTGCATTTTGATTATTAATCGAGGATAAATGTGGATTTCTATGGGCCACAGCATCAACTTAATTCTACAAAAAACCGGCCAAGAGCGTGTCGGGCCACGCTCAGTGTAGGGTTCCGTAGTTTCCCGTCCGTCACAATAAGTGTTCCCACTTATGAGTTTAAAGGTGCAACCGCTTCCGGTAGTGGGTACTGTTGTTTCCATCCAAGTTCAAAATGATTTTCCTAGAAAGTCCTTATAAAGTTCTACTTTTTAGATTTTTTTTCATATTTTCTAAACTTATAGTTCAAAAGTTAGAGGGGGGGGGACACATTGTTTTTTTACTTTTAGAGCGATTATTTCCGAAATTATTGACATTATCAAAAATGATTTTAGTAAACCCCTATTCATTTTTAAATACCTTTCCAACAATATGTCACACGTTAGGGTTGAAATTAAAAAAAATCACTTCCCACTTTACATATAGGGGGGCTACCCTAAAAAAACATTTTATTCCAATTTTTATTTACCACTTTGTCGGCGTGATTGTTACACATATCGGTACCAAATTTCAGCTTTCTAGTACTAACGGTCACAGGCATTAAGCGAGGACGGACAGACGGACAGACAGACATGGCGAAACTATAAGGGTTCCTAGTTGACTACTGAACCCTAAAAACACTATATTCTAAATAGTTCAAGTAACCAATAAAATAGTTTAAGTAATCAATAAGAAATGTGGTTACTTGAACTATTTTATTCACTCACCGTCATAATAAACGAGCTCGCACTTATTTCTGTACTCTGGACTCTTGGCGATTATAGAGCGCAACATTCTGCAGAAGTCGTTCACGATCTCTTGAATATTCGCCTTGGCTAATTCTGTAATCATAAAAGAATATAATCCACCATTAACATAAATGTAATTTTACTTTTTATAAAAAGTCAAAGCTGAATTCAAACAACTAAAAAGAATATAAAATCATTTCACATTCTAAAGTCGGTACTAAGACATTGTATAGAACAATTAAAACTCCCTTATTCTATAAAAAATAACTACTCGAATACAGGTTTCAAATACTTAAGATATTAGAATACTAAGTCGTGCATTTAAGTCGCTACCTTATAATAAGCATCGTAATTTGAATGCATATGATACGCGTAGATCGCCTAAAGAACATTGTGAAGTTAGTCGCAAGTCGACCGATTCGAGAGAAACTGTGATTATTAACTTTTCTACCAAACTTTACCTTAATTACCAAAGGATAATGATTAAATGACTAATTGCAATATTCATAATTTTATTATTTACATATTTGTTTCTAACGTCATACATATAATAAAAAACTTAAGAGATAATTTAAGATGAAATAAAATTGTTAGATTTTAGTACGAAAATAAAGAGTCCTCCGCTCCGGCCAACCCATTGGCCACCAAATGGGCCAGTCCATTGCCAACGTGTTGGCCTACATAACGCGAGAAGCTATATAAGGTTCAAAGCTCAACTCAAAAAATACTCAAGTTCAAACAAGTACTCAAATGTTCGTAATTATATTCCAGTAGCTGTTCGAGTAGCCGAGCCGTGGTAGCTCAGATGGTTAACGCTCGCAGTAAATATAACACAACGCGAGTAACCCGGGTTCGATCCCCGCCGGCACCAATGAAATTGTTAATTGCAATTTTAAGTGCTGATTTACCACGTGCTCGGCGGTGAAGGAAAACATCGTGAGGAAACCTGCATGTCTGAGGAATAAGAGAAAAAATTATATTTCGAAGACATGTGAAGTTCGTCAACGCCAACACGCATTGGGGCAGCGCGGCGCTCAGAAATGAGGCGAGGCCTGTGCCCAGCAGTGGGACGTATTTAGGCTGTAACTTTACTTTTACCTGTTCGAGTCCTCCGACTTGAGTCCTGACTCGATTCTATTTTTAACGAATACCAATATAATCGAATACAAAAATAGCCGACTCATATCTCCAATTACAAACAATAATGGAGAACTCACCTTCATAAAGAGAAGTCTTCTCCAAAACGCGATGCAAGGTGTGCAGCGGCGTCGGACACTCTGCCGCTAAATACACTGGCGACTTCCCCGGTCGGTATATTTTGTATGCCGTGTTGCGGTACGTCCGATTCTTCACGCCAGCCACGTCTTTCACCACTTCCTCTAATGACTGCATTGGAATTATTTTCAGATCATTTATATGACAGGCACAGAGAGAGAGAAAGAGAGAACAAGAGAGAGGTTACAGTTGATACCATCTGCTTATATATACTCGGCGGTTATATACATTTACTCGTTTTTACATTACTCAATACTCAACTACTAACCATATATTGGCGGTGTAAGAATATCCACTATCCCATATCAACCCGTGGGGGTCGTGAGAGGCAGCAGAGGGAAACAAGGAAATGGGAAGCAGAGTCTTCCTAAGGACTAAAAACAAAAAACTGCGGTTGCCAACCAGCTTGCCAAATGTGGCAAATATAGAAAATATACCCCTATGAGCTAAGATGTTTTAACTATGAAGCAATGTAAGGGGGAGGCCTATGTTCAGCAGTGGACTTTAATAGGCTGTAACGTGATGATTTCTTATATTTACGCGAACACTGTACATTGATTAAAACTACTTTTACGGATTTTATCGCATTTTATTTATTTTATTTTTAATCCCCGACGTTTCGGGTGCTTTCCAGCACCCTTGATCACGGAGGGACTAAGGTGACTGACGTCCCGATGTCAAAGTTAACCCGGAGTACCTTCAGCTTTTCTAATTATTGTCTTTGGTCCGATCTACGCAGAATAAACTAATTGTGTTTTTAAGTCTTGCAGTGGTATGCTTAGGTTTAGTTTTAATTTTATTAATTATAGGATCCCAAGCAGGTGGTAGTACCCAGCCTCCTTCTCTATTAAAATTAGGAAGTGTTTTTTTTAATTTCAATAGCCTCACGTATCATCCTTGGTAGGAATCGATGTTCTTTCGCGAGGATTTGTGGTCTATCAAATCTGATGTAGTGGTTGGGTCCATCTAGGATATGATCGCAAACTGCAGACTTCCCGGAACGTTGATGCTTCACGACAGCTATGTGTTCTTTTACGCAGGTTCTAATTGATCTCTTTGTTTGCCCTATATATGAGAGACCACAATCACAATCAAGCTTGTACACTCCTGCCTCTTGTAGAGGAATGTGACACTTGACGGATGGTAAGAACTGACTAATCTTCTTCGGCGGCTAGAATGTTCTAATAGAAGCTCGCTTCAAGATGTAGCCAATCTTGTCTGTGACACCTCTGACATATGGTAGTATAGCAGGCACACGCTCGACTGTGGTCGGCTTCACTCGGTCACAGTGACGGAGGCGCGGGACCCGAAGCTTGTTGTCGTGCAGAACCTGCTTGACATGCTGAAGCTCGGCGGCCGGTGTTTGCTGTCACAGATCCCTCGTGCTCTCTGTAACAAAGATTTGCCCACGGTAGCTAACTGTGAAGGATGATGGTGAGATTCACCGTTTAAGTATCGGTTTGTATGGGTCTTTTTTTCTATACACAGTATGACATAATGGTGTTGTTAGGATTTCGGATGACTAACACATCTAGGAAAGGTAAAGAATTATTTGCCTCTAACTCCATAGTAAATTGAATTTTAGAGTTTAAGATGTTCTAAAAATGCAGTTACTTTGTCTGATGGCAAAATTGTGAAAGTATCGTCTACGTACCGCTTGTAGAACCTTGGGGTGACAGGTGCAGTAAGGAGGGCTTTCTCCTCAGTCCTCCATGAATATATCGGCGACAATGGGAGATACAGGTGGGCCCATCGCAACACCATCTACTTGTTTGTAAAACTCTTCTTTCCACAATAGATAGCCAGCCCAACCATTACATTACATCAGATTTGATAGACCACAAATCCTCGCGAAAGAACATCGATTCCTACTAAGGATGATACGTGAGGCTATTGAAATTAAAAAACATCCTAATTTCAATAGAGAAGGAGGCTGCTTGGGATCCTATAATTAATAAAATTAAAACTAAACCCAAGCATACCACTGCAAGACTTCAAAACACAGTTAGTTCATTCTGCGTAGATCGGACTAAGACAATAATTAAAAAAGCTGAAGGTACTCCGGGTTAACTTTGACATCGGGACGTCAGTCACCTCAGTCCCCCGTGACCATGGGTGCTGGAAACGTCGGGTATTAAAAATAAAATAAATAAAACGCGATAAAATCCGTAAAAGTAGTTTTAATCAAGGCTGTAACGTGATTCCCTCTAATGGTCGACATACACGGTCAGTTCAACTGATTAGTTCATACTAGTAATGTTGATTTTTTTTAAATATCGGACTTTCTATATATCGATAATTATAAATATATCAATAGCGGAGTTTTATACATAGGTTTATTTGTCGATATATCGAAAATCCGATATTTTAAAAAATATCAACATAACTAGTTTGAACTGATCAGTTGGAATGATCAGTTGAACTGTCCGTGTGTGTCATCCATTAGTCCCACAAGTGTTAATGGTGTACCCATTAGAGGATCAGGATAATTACACGTTGTGAGGCATTCCATCTCCACAGGTGTCAATGCATCTGTGGACTTCTTCGTTTGTGCAGTTAGCATAAGGTGAACTGTTCGTTGGTGGGGGTAGTTCTACCCCCGGGACGTGCTTCTAGCCGAACAGAGCGAGCGAGCAATGGAGGTGCTGCGGTTGTGTTCCGAACGGTTATCCCGGGACCCTTCTTATACTCTGATGGTGACCCTTTGTGGTTTTGATACCGGCCAAGGAGTCCGGCATAACCTTCCCGTTGGCCCCGCAGCAGAAGGTATCTATGAGAATCTATGAGCACTAGAACATAGTGCCAACCCCCCCCCCGCACCGCCCTTGAATTCATCTTCTTTTACTGCCTCGTTAGATAAGTGATCATAAGCGCGATTGCTAATCTTATGGTCCCCGGTCAAGGATCCGACCCAGGGTCAAAACAAAGAATAGACTAATAAATAAGTACTACTCCTTCAAAAAGTTGATTCGCGCGTGCATCTACTGGGGAATTATTAGAAATACTATATTGTTAAATATTTGCACTAGTATTTTTACCGACGTATTAATGTTGTATTTGTTTATATAAATAATATATTATATACGAGGGTGACACTGTAAGTTCTTAGAAAATCAAAAACTGAACAAACTAGCAAGTTATTAGTTTTATTATATCTTTTCAAAATAGTATCCATTCACATCAATACATCGCTGCATCCGATGGAACCACTGAGAAAAGCATTTTGCCCACTCGTCCTTAGGGGTCTCTTCGACGGCATTTTGAAACGCAGCCGCTGCTTCCTCGGCGTTCATAAGACGTTTTCTTCAAAGTTTTTCTTTTATTTTTGGAAATAAATAAATATTGCAAGGTGCGAGGTCAGGGTTATAGGGCGGTTGACCCAGTAATTCCACGTCTGACGTCCCCTAGTAGTCGATTGTTTGTTTGGCGGTGTGCGACGAGGCGTTGTCGCGGTGAAGGAGGATCCTACTGCGAGGTCGTTTCTCCGGAACTTATTCCAAGACCAGTGGCAAACAATTGTTAGTGTACCACTCTGCAGTAACTGTTTTTCGATCCTCTAAAACAATTGTTGCGTAATGACCTATCCTTCCGAAGAACGAGGCCACCATCTTTTTTCCCACGCTTCGACCTCTCTTCTCAACTCAACTCAAACTCTGGCAACTCAGCTCAACTCAACTAGAGTAAGTAGATAGGTCGTTACTTATTTCATCAGGTTTATCATATTTACGCCTGTTCCTTTACGCCAACCCAGTGGCTTCTTATTTTTATTATGGTTATATCCCATTTTAATTTCACATCGTCCTGTTGCGTAATGTGTATTCTGATCGTAAACGACACAGCTTCCCCATTCGAAAGCCGAAGCGAGACTGATCAGGCGGCAGGGAACAAGCTTTAAGACGCCGATAGTGTAGGTAATTTCTTTTTACAGTGAAAATAATGGTAATTAAAAAAAAAAAAAAAAAACCCTGTTTTATTTGGTTAGGGTAGTATGCAAAGTTGCATGATCTAATTTAAAGTATTTTATGAATACCAGCGGTTTATTGTTCAGTTTGGAGGTAACTTTGGATTTTTTTCCATCGAGAACATTTTACGGAATTATGTTTTCGTACTTAACATTAATTCTCAACTTTACCATATATTTATTTCAAAATTAATGCTGCAATATTTTCGGAATAACAGAGATGCAGAGATGCTTAAACCAGTTGTAAACACCACTGACGAGAAGCAAAAAAAAAAACCACCGGAGGGAAAACACCCTTTCAAAAATTTTACCTATTTTTTTAATTATTAAAACAAAAAAAATAATGCCAGTTATATATAAATTATAAGAATATATGTCTTTACTTAGAACATTCTGTTATAATACATATTTTGTTACTTAAAATGTGTATTTATTTTTTATTCTATCCGTTTCTTTGCTTTTTAATTTCCATAGAGTTTTTAATTGCTATAGAGAGTTGACTGGTAGAGAATGCCTTTAGCCATCAAGTTCGCACTTTATATCCTTTTGTTTCTAAGCGAATGCAATAACGATTTTAAATAAATAAATAAAGGGAATATTATAATAGGCCCTTAAATATGAAATTGGCGTTTTGAACGGGAGGAATATAGTGTAATTTTTTTTGTAAAATATATTTAATTAATCAAAGTATGCACCGTTGCCTCTCTTAGATAGTTCATAAATTTACTAAAAAAACCTTGGTGGCGAGATTTAATAAAGTCTTTGAAGGCGGTTTGGACTGCCGCATCGGAGTTGAATTTTTTTTCTTGTAAGAAGTTGTCCCAATTCCGGAAAAATGGTAATCTGTTGGATCAAGGTCCGGGGAATACGGCGGATGTCGCAGACATTCCGATTGTAGCTCATCTAACTTAGTGGTTATTAGGTGTGCAGTGTGTGGTCTTGCGTTGTCGTGAAGCAGCAGTGGCCTAGAGCGATTGACCAATCTCGGTTGTTCAGCAGCTAGTTCTTCCTTCATGGTTTGCAGTTGCTGACAATAGATATCTGCCGTAATCGTTTGGCCAGATTTTAGAAAGCTGTAGTGAGCGACACTGGCGCTAGTCCACCAAACACTCACAAGTAACTTTTCTGAGTCAATTTTCGTTTAGGGGAGGGTTTGGCTGGGTCTCCAGGGTTCAGCCATTGCGACGAGCGTTTCCAATTATCGTACAGTCTCCACTTTTCATTACAAGCAATGATTCGATTTAAAATCCATTCATTTTTGTGTCGGTTGAGCAAAGTAACGCAGCAGTCGACGCGTGTTTGCATATTCGATTCACTCGATTCATGAGGTACCCAGCGTTCAAGTTTTTTTTACTTTCCCGATTTGCTTCAAGTGGATTATACAGTTTTATCACTTACCCCGAAGCCCGCAGTTATTTCTGAAGTGTTTTGTGATGAATCCGCTTCTACAAAAGCCTTTAATTCTTCATTCTCCACTTTGGTCCCCGGCCGTCCACGGGGTTGGTTCTGAAGGTCGAAATTTTCAGAACGAAAACGTTGAAACCAAAAACGTACCGTGCTTTCTTTTGCGACACCAGCGCCGTACACATCATTAATCCTTTGAGCTGTTTCTGCAGCACTGGTAGCCACGGTAGAACTCGTACTCGTAAATATACCGATATTTCATGTTTACCATTGTGCGGTAATAAGCGACGCCATAGAAAAAAATAATAAGGAAAAAACAAATGAATGACTGTTTTCAAAACTCAAATGTACCAGCTAAATGAATTTATAAATTTGAATTTGTAATTCTTAACCAAATAGGAGATATTTCAGATCAAAGTGGTCAGTAGGACAAAACGCTAATTTCATAAGTAAGGACCGAATATAATGGGCCCAAGATCAATTACTGCGTATTTCTATTAAGTAATTCTCAGTAGGTAGCAGCCCAGCATCAGAAAACTTGCGGTGTGCGGTCATGCGCATGATCTTTCTCCGATTATGTCGCTTTACCGTCACATCGGACTATATGAGAGTGAAGGAATAGAGAGTGCACCTGTGCTTGCGCATACACTTGCGCACTATTTTCCGGTCTTGCGCAGATGGCTAGTCATCGTTGAAACAGGCCGACGTGATCGGCATGGAGGACATTTTTTTAAAATTATTAAAACAATAAGTATAATGTATTTTTATAGTTATCCCCACACTAGGCAAATGTATGTGTGCAGATTATCTATTTTTAGCACTTGTTATGTTACAGTATTCTTAATATTTTAAACTATTTAGTAACACCTAATTTTCAACTTTTTTTAGATCTTTACTGGCATAATTTAAAAGTTAAAGCGGGGGCTTTGCTGGTATATAATATTATGACACTTATCCTCTGTTGTCAAACGGATATGAATCTAGAAATAGAATTAATATTAATGAAATTTCATTACTCGATTCGCTTGAAAATGTAGAAAGTATCATGCCGATCCTATCTAGACTAGATCTTAGAGTCACTAACCTGACAGGCCTCTAAATACGGCAGATCCTTCCTGTTGTTCTTGTTAAAATGCTTCAGATCGGGCGGACAGTATAGGGATTTCGTTATCACTAAGAACAACCTCTTGACAGGGAACACTATCCCCTGGCTTGCCTCGTAAATGTTCATATTCTCTTCGAAGCCCACGAATTTGGCTCCATCGCTCGGAATCACATGAACTAAATAGCCTTCGAAGAAACTGCACGCCATACCGACACCATAATTGATAGTTGACGCTGCTTGTTCCTGGAATAAGACAAGCCGTGTTAGAATTTTCGACTTTGTACGTGGTAGAGCCATGCTGCTGCTATATATTATGGTTGTAGCACAAATAGGTCCGATCGACCGGGGAAGGACCACGCTCTCACAGAACACCAGCTTAAAATAGCAGCTCAATGCTGCTGTGTTTCGTATGGTGAGTGTAAAAAATCGAGCACACTTAGTTCTCAAGGTGACACGCATTTGCATTTTGATTCTTAATCAGGTTAAATGTAATGTCTTGGGCCACAGCATCCACCTACCATCAGGAAGGCTGTGAGCTCGTTTGTCACCCTTATCCTATAAAAAAAGACTAGGGGCAGGGCAATTTTATCATCATCTTCACTGAAAATACCACCTGCTGAAAATATTATGCCTCCCTCATAGAATGCCTCATATGGGATATACCAGGCGGTCCCATAATGAACTGGCCTGATATAGTTCAACGCGACATGTCGCTACATGTTGTATTGCATTAAATAGTACGTTTATCGTGCACTTAATATAAGAAACATGCATCGACATGAAATGCTTAGTCTTAGTTTAACAGGCATTTGAATAACGAGAGTCGCGTATTTTTTCAAAATGTCGAAAACTTTTTCAAAATGTCGAAAACTGAGTATCGAAGTGTCATAAAGTTTCTGTTTAAAGAAGGTTTATCCCCTGCCCAAATAAAAGAACGATTGGATGGCGTATATAAGGAGTCTGCCCCCTCCTATAGCACAGTGAAAAATTGGGTGAAAGAGTTTCGCCTCGGGAGAGAAACCGTCGAAGACTTTGGCCACGACGGTCGACCTGTGGAAGTGCTCACTCCCGAAACGATTGCTCTTATCGAAGAGGAGGTTCTGAGTGACCGCCGTTTGAAGATTAGAGAAATTGCAGCAAGGCTTGGGCTCTCTAAGAGTACCGTTCATCGCGCGATCCATGAACATCTTCACATGAAAAAAGTGAGTGCAAGATGGGTACCGAAACTTCTTTGGTACAGAGACAGGAAAGAGTGCGCTGCGCTTCGGAGTTTTTGGATCTTTGTGGCGAAAATCCAAAGACTGTGATCGAGCGGCTAGTGACTGGTGATGAAACTATGATCTTGTATTATTCCACAAAGCAACCAGTCACATCTTAAGGGAAAAGCCTCCACAAAGGCAATGCAACAAAATTTGCACAATATTTTGGGATTTTCAAGGCATTTTGATGGTGGATTTTAAAGAACGTAATACAGTCGTGAACGGCGAATATTATGCTTCTTTAATATATAAATTACGAGACAAGATAAAGGAAAAACGAAGAGGCAAGCTGTCTAAAGGTGTCCTGTTGCTCCACGACAACGCCCCTGTTCATACCGCTGGTGTTTCGAAGGATGCAGTTCGTCAATGCGGGTTCACAGAAGTTCAACATCCACCTTACAGTCCAGACATGGCCCCGTCCGACTATTATTTATTTCCAAATTTATAGCGGGACTTAAGAGGAAGAAAATTTTCAAGCGATGAAGAGTTGCAGGCGGCCGTCTTCAGTCATTTTGAGGATAAAAAATGTGATTATTTTTATAAAGGTTTAGAGATGTTGATTCACAGATGTCAGAAGTGAGTTAGTATTCATGGTGATTATATTGAAAAATAAAATTGGTTTCGTTTCATTTCCTTCATTGGTTCATAGTTAGGCCAATTCATTATGGGACCGCCTACGTATATGGTATAGTTGTAGCGCTTGGTGGGGAGCAAACGCAGTTTTAAATTATTTTAAGCTGTTATCAGAAAGACGCTGCTTCACAGAATACCAGCGCGAAGTAACTGCATAATGATGCTGTTTGGTATGGTGAGTGTAAAGATCCGGAGACCGATCTAGATGTCTATGGGCTACAGCATCCATTTACCATCAGGTGGACGGTGTGCTAGTTTGTTACCCTTATTCTATAAAAAATAAGCAACAATATAGCATAGCAATAATTATTCTTCTATGTACTGAATACCAGCGTAAACCAGCAGCTGCTTGTTTTGTATGGTGAATGTTGTGAAGTGGATCTCTCTTTTACTGGTAATAAGGCAATCCATTTTAGTCTATATCTTAGTCTAGATCTAAAGTGCCAATGCACTTACCATCAAATAAATTGTCAATATTTACCGTTATATAAAGAAAGCTGAAACAATCGAACGAACCAATTGGATTCTTGCGCGAGCTGTCGTCTGGTACGTCAAAGACCGTTCAGTTCGTAATACAAAGATTTTTTATCAATTTACCCTCAATGTTTAAATATGGATAGTGATAAAGATAAATCGATAGATGGAAGTGATGAAAGTGATTCATACGTAAATGTGAATTAGAACTAAGCCAAATTGAGGATCGAAGAATCACTCGTGTGCCTGAAATGAAACATGCAAACGCTGGGTTCACAACTCGAATGCCTGAAGTGAGATCGGAAAAAAGCACGTGAGGAAGATACAAACAGCAAAGATGGTTATGTGACAGTTGAAAAAAGAAGACCGAAACGTCTCTTAAGAAGTATTTCAACAGGGCAGGGACAAAAGACAACATCGAAAGAAATCGGATCTAAATAGTTTGGACCATGAATTACCAAAGCTCTTACGAAGTGAGAATATTTTGAATATTGAAACAATCAAATATAAGTCCCCTTTCAAAGTTTTGATTCGCTATCAATGTAGTAATGATGCGGAAAAAATGATAAGTTGTAAAAAATTTCAAGAATTAGAGTACAAATGTCAAAAAACTTTGAAACTACGGTTTCTTATGGATTGATTAGAGGTGTAGATTTGAAGTTTACAGAACAAGATATTTTAGCAATATTGAAGAGTGATACCAAAATATTGGCGGTAAGACGACTTAAACGACTTGATTTAAATAGCAAAAGGGGTCGAAAGTGAAACGGTAAGGATATGCTTTCAAGGCCCTGTTTTACCTCTTTATGTCACGGCATATGAGTATAATTTTATAGTGGAAAACTACACTTTTCCAGCAACACAATGTACCGGATGCTGGAAATTCGGACATATTATTAAAGTATGCCCGACTAAAAAAAAATTTACGTCCAAAATGTGGTAGTACGAAACACATAAACTGTGATCTAAAAACATACAAGTGCCTCAATTGTAAAGGATTACATTTCGTTTTGAATAACAGATGTCCTATGTATTTCAAAGAAAAATAAATACGTATCACTATGAGTAAGGAAAATATACCTTATAGAAAATCTCTTCAGATGATTATAAATAAAAATCAAATAGAAATGAGCAATAACTTAAATATGCACTCTAAAGATACTTTTGTCAATCAAGAGATCACAGAACAGCCGACACAGGTGTTGGAAAATCGTGGAGCTCGAAGTTATATTCAGGTTGTTACTAACGCTCAAGTTCATAAGGAAAATAATCAAGAATTAGCCTCAGATGAAGAAACAATACCCATAGAAACAAATAAAAAGGAAAAGACAAAACAAAGACAAAGAAAAGGAAGGAAAAACATAAATACGATAGAAAATGATACGCAGTTTAAGGAAGCAGAAGAAGAGAGCCAAAAAAGTACTTCAGATGAAGAAAAAACAAGACAAAAAACATTTGATTTTAAGGGACTCCTATTAAAAATTCATTTTAATAGGAGTCCCTTAAAGTTATTGCGGTTTTCATGGCTAAAAATTAAAGTAATTAAAACATTTGTGAGTAGTTTAATATCAGGACGAAAAATTTATGAATCAGTTTTAAATTATATGAATAATGGATAGTACAAATAACAAAAACATCGCTATTAATATATTACAGTGGAATACACAAAGTTTGAAACCAAAATTGATAGATCTTGGGGAGCTTTTGGTAAAAGAAAAAATACACATAGCCATTCTAAGTGAAACATGGTTAGATAACGATGATAATATTAATATTAAAGGTTATTCCTACAGACGGGACAGATATGACTCTTATGGTGGAGTTGCAATCGTTACACACAACTCACTTAAAAGCGTAGTAAGTATAATTCGATTAACTAACCCAGGCATAGAAACTGTATATGTTAAATTGCACAATTGTGATTTCTTACAATTAATCAATCTATTGGCCATCTTTAGTTAGAACTCAAGTATCAGACTGGGAGGAGCTATTTTCCATCTTCCCAAAAATAATCCCGTTAATAGCAGGTGATTTTAATGGGCACCACAGCAATTGGTCGTACAAAAACGATGCACGAGGGGTGCAATTAGTAGACTCATCGATAGAACATGGTTATTTTTCTCTTAATAATGGAATGCCAACAAGAGTTAAATTTGTCAATGGGTTTTTACAAGAAACTTCCCCAGATATTTCTTTTGTATCAAATGATATTAATATAAATTTCGATTGGAAGGTGCACAATGAAAATCTAGGCAGCGATCATCTATTAATGAAATTAAGTACTAAAATCCCAAAACACTATAATGGCATTCAGAAACGTAATTTTAAGAAAATTGATTGGGTAGGCTATACTAACAAAATTAAAGAATCCTTTAGCGATGATTTATTAGATATTGATATATATGATGGAACATGTATTCAAGAAATGTATAATTTTCTACTTTCTCAACTTGATAAAGCGGCCGATGCTAGTATGCCTACTATAAAAGTACGCATTGATCCAGCAACAAAATTCAAACCCCGAAATTATTGGAACCCAGCCCTGTCTAGAGCAGTTGCTCAAAGAAGATTAGCTCTTAGGAATTTTAGGCGTAATCCAACTCGCAACAATTTGACTCACTTAGAAGTAAAAACTAAAGAAGCTAGTAAACTTATAGTAGATGCAAGACATAAACCAACTCGCAACAAGACGTAATCCAACTCGCAACAATTTGACTCACTTAGAAGTAAAAACTAAAGAGGCTAGTAAACTTATAGTAGATGCAAGACATAAACCAACTCGCAACAAGACGTAATCCAACTCGCAACAATTTGACTCACTTAGAAGTAAAAACTAAAGAGGCTAGTAAACTTATAGTAGATGCAAGACATAAACCAACTCGCAACAAGACGTAATCCAACTCGCAACAATTTGACTCACTTAGAAGTAAAAACTAAAGAGGCTAGTAAACCTATAGTAGATGCAAGACATAAACATTGGCAGAACTTTTGCGAATCGATAGATGGAGAAACTTCAATAACAAACATGTGGCAGCGCATGTGATGGATGAAGGGCATTCGTAAACAAAAATCATTCATTCCATTAGATCAGCAAGAAAAGCTTCTACTTTCACTCACACCGGATACTGCTACCGACCTATGTCCCAATTTTATGTCTAAAAATCCTTCATTAGAGACTGATTTTACAATGGTAGAATTGAAGTTGTCTTAAAAAAAAAGATACTGCTCCCGGAGATGACGAAATCACATATAGTATATATTAATCTTCATATAATTTTTTAATTTTAACTTTGTCAGGTCTGGAAATATACCAAGTCAATGGCGTAATGATGTTAAGCTGAGTCCAATTTCCTTGGTGTCATGTCTTTGTAAAACTTTCCACATTATGATGCTCAAGCGACTAGAATGGTTAATTGAAAAAAATTGCATATTTTCGCCATCTACAGTTGGATTTAGGAAATCACAATCTTGCTTAGACTGTCACTCTCGCTTGGTAACATTTTTACAATTTGGATTTACACAAAATATGCCCACTTTAGCTTGCTTTTTGGATATTTAAAATGCTTACAATAATGTTGATATAAATAGTTTCTTAAAAATATTAGATAATCTACAAGTTGGTAGTAGGTTTTGTACATATTTATGGTCATTCCTAAGCAAAAGAAATTTACAGGTAAAATCTCAAATTGAAAATAAAGTACTTAAAAGAAGCACAAATAAAGGATTAGCACAAATAGACCCAATATCCTCTTTCCTATTCAATATAGCGACTTATAGAATCTGCCATTTAATATCACAACACAACGTAAATATTATTCAATATGCTGATGACTATATATATATATATATATATACACTCACCGGCACGGAAACTTGGCCAAGCGGTTATCTCGCGATAGCAAAAGCTTTAAGTGTTTCTGATGAATGTTTGTTATGCAAGTATGTCAAAAAATGTTTACCCTCAAGTTCAAGAGGGTAATTCATTATGTTTAAGTGCACCATGACGAATTCTTTAATTTTTAGTTGAATCGGGTCATTTGAGCGACTAAGTTCACATTTTAAATTTGTGTGTTGTGAAAAGTTTACTGTAAGGTTATTCAATTATTGTGATCTTGTGTCTTAATTAAATAACTAAAGGTGCTTTAAAGCCAATAAAAATGCCATTAACACCAGCACAAGTTGCACAAGCAGTAGCATTAATTGACCAAGGGCTGACACAGCGTGAAGTTGCTATTGTGCTTAACGTACCACGGTCCTCAATGCAGTATTCACTGAAACGATACCAGGAGACAGGCCGCTACACCCGCAGGCCAGGCAGTGGGGGCGTAAGGTGCACATCGGCCCGGGACGATCGTTTTATTGTTATGGAGATTTTGAGAAACCGCTACCTGACCGCTGTTGAGATACGCCAGCGGCTCCAAATCGCAAGAGGCGTTAATGTTAGTGAGCGTACGGTGAGAAGACGAATGGAGGAAGTGAATTTAAAAGCTCGTAGACCAGCACGAGGTCCAGAACTTCTCAGACAGCACCGAGTAGCCCGACTTCAGTTCGCAAGAGAACATGTCAATTGGACCCACGAGCAATGGGCTAGAGTGTTGTTCACAGATGAGTGTCGAATAGCTTTACGTGCTCCAGACGGTCGAGAACGAGTGTGGAGAAAAAGAGGAGAGAGGTTTCTACCCATTACCACCACCCAAACTGTGAGTTTCCATGGAGGCTCAATAATGGTATGGGGAGGTGTAAGTTCCGACGCACGTACAGAGTTGGTCATCGTCGATAATCGGCTTACAGCTACTCGATACATCGAGGAAGTTCTTCAGGAGCACGTAATGCCTTATTCGGGATTCATTGGACACGACCAATTCCTCCTCATGCACGATAATGCACGCCCGCACGTCGCACATTGTGTAGAGGAATATCTGGAAGAGGTTGGAATACAAAAATTACAGCGGCCAGCTCGTAGCCCGGACTTAAATCCAATTGAGCATGTATGGAATATGCTCAAAAGAAATATAAAGTCCAGCTCCAAACCGCCACAAACTCTAAATGAGCTCCGAAATGCAGCGCTGGCCGCTTGGGACAGCATACCGCAAGTTGATGTCAGAAACATCATTCAAAGCATGCCAGATCGAATGCAAGCGGTTATCAGGGCTAGAGGAGGAAACACCCGATATTAAAACTGATAGACAATAAAGAAACAGACTTAATTTTTAACTTTGTAGTGTTTTTGAAGTGACAATGGAAAGATGTTAATTTTAGTGAAAACATGTTATCTTGAAAAGAAAAATTTCGGTGAAGTAAACATTAAATTTCTATGTTCTAAAACCATTAGAGACACTTATTGAATGCATCTACCCTTAATTTACTGTTAAAAAAAACGTTTCAGTGCAAATAATCACCAAATTCACGAGTGGCCAAGTTTCCGTGCCGGTGAGTGTATATATATATATATATATATATATATATATATATATATATATATATATATATATATATATATATATACTATAATAACCGATGGGGAAGAAAGGTTCTCTAGTGGCAGCCTCGTACCGGTAGGCGTAGTGTAGGGCGACCCCCCACTAGATGGAGTGACGACCTGGTAAGACATGCAGGAAGTCGATGGATGCAGGTGGCTCAGGAACGTGCTTTGTGGCATTGCTTGGGGGAGGCCAACGTTCAGCAGTGGACTTGTGAAGGGCTGTAATGAAAAATGAAAATGCTGTTGACTTTGTTATTTACATAAAAGACAAAGATTTAAAAATTTGTGAGTCAAAGATCAAAAACGCGTTATATTGTATAGTAGAAATATTAAACGATATAGGTTTACATCTGTCAACCGAAAAAACAAAGTTATGCCTGTTTAGTCGAGGACGTAGACCGAGTCCTGCCTAAGGTAACAGTTAACGAACGCTCACTGACTTCCTTATATTGCTTTAAATACTTGGGGTTGTGGCTAGATAGTAACCTACTCTGGAACAAACACATTAATGAGATTACAGAAAAATGTAATAAGTTTTAAATATACTTGTGGTACTGTCTGGGTCATCGTGGGGTTTTCATCCCAAACATATTCGTCAGCTGTATATTTCGTTAATAAGAATTAGAATCGATTACGGTAGTTTTTTATTTGATAATTGTGCTAATGTTCACTTAGATTAGATAAATTAGATAAAATACAAAATAAAGCGTTGAGGGTTATTGGTGGTTTTATCAAAAGTTCTCCAATACATGTAATGGAAAGCGAACTTAGTGTACCTCCATTGTATATTAGAAGATTATATCTAGCTTATAAATATGTTTTAAAAGCCAGCTCTTCTTCGAATAATATTGCAATTGATTAGTAGAAGCAACTTGGCACTCTCTGTGAAACAAGATATTGACAACGCAAGAAAATCCCACTCTTAGTTAAATCTTATAATAAGATTAAAGTTACGAAAATACATTCATCTCCTTTTCTCGAATCATTTTCGCTTAGCATTTGGCTGTCTCGCATTGATATTGAAAATATAGTATTAAGTGAATTAGAGTCTGTTACACAATCCAAAAAATTCTATGAAATAAATTCTCTTAAAGTCAATATTATCAAAGAACTTTACAATAAATATCACGATTGGCATAAAATCTACACAGACGAATCAAAGAGTGCTAAGTTGCAAGGGGCAGCTTTTCTCGACCCATCTCAAGCAGTTTCTAGATCTTATAAAGTTACAAATGACGTTTGTATTATGACCCTTGAACTCATTGCAATATCCGAAATCCCTAAGATATGCCGCAAGCTATAACTGGAACAAAATTATTATATACTCGGACAACAAAACTGCTATCCAACATTTGGCTCGATCCGCCTCTGGAATCAGAGGTGTTTCGATAGCCCTTGACATACTTTCGCAAATAAATCAGTTCAGTCTATGCGGCATCGGTGTAAGTGTGCAATGGATTCCAGCACACATTGGTTTATTGGGTAACGAGGAGGCGGATAGATTAGCGAATTCTGCTTGTATAAATGGTGTAGAGTATAATATTGATCCTTGCTACTCAGAAGTATTACCAAAATTCAAAAATTCATGTTATAATAAATGCAAAGAATTTTTCAATTAATGTTCTAAAACGAAAGGTATTTGGTATAAAACGATACAGAGTGAACCGCCTCGAATATCTTGGTTTATAGATTCAAAATTAAATAGAAATACTATTAAATTAATATCTAGAATAGGAACAGGTCACATTCCATCAAAAAAATTTCTTATTTGATGAAAAGAGCTGATTCATCTAACTGTGAAATTTGTGGAGTAATTGAAGACGTACATCATATTAATGGAATGTGAGCGGAACCGAGGGGCAAGGGAATTATTTGTAAGGACATATAATATAAATGTGTACGATATAGGTATTGCGCAGGGCATCCTACATGCCCCCACCTCGGATATTGCATTAAGTATGTGCAGATTAATAACATATGTATAGATTTTAAGTTAGCTTTAATGGGATTGACATGTTAACGAACAAAAATCACTAAATAAAATAAGAATAAAAAAAAACGAACCAATCAATTCGTCCAATCAACGAACCAAATCCATAACAACAACCAAATAATATTATAAAAGAGTTAAAGCACCAACTTACCATTTCTGGATACTTCGTTATTAGGTGCGCAATATACCAGAATAGGAAATCCTCTCCGAGAACTTTCTGTTTATTATAAATTAAAAAACCAATAGATAACACCGTAATGAACAGAAATTTTTTGGTGTCATTTATAATTTGGGCAATGTCCGTCGAGTGCTTAGAATGTAACGCGTTGAAGCCTACTGCACAGGCTTCAGTGGACCCTTTTATTATTAACATGTAGACAACGTCACGGACTGGAACAAAAATAAATCTATCAAAATTGCGACAATTTTTTAGCAAGTTCTTCTGAGCTCAGAACTGGCAACTAAAAACTTGAAACACAGGACTTGAAACTTAAACACAGCTATGTTTAAAGTATAAATTTTAAAGAGCGTACCTCTCGCGCTGCAGCTATATTATGGTTGTAGCACGAATGGGTCGGCTCGACCGGGGAAAGACTACGCTCGCACAGAATACCGGCGTAAAATAGCAGCTTAAGCTGCTGTGTTTCCTATGGTGAAAGTAGAGAACCGGAAACCCTTTTTACTCGAAACGAGGCATTCCATTTTAGTTCTCAGAGATGACAATTCATCTGCATTTTGATTATTAATCGAGGACAGATGTAGATGTCTATAGACCCCAGAAAGCCACACATCATCAGGTGGACTGTATGAAACTTTTCAAGTCCTCAACTCATCGAGTAGTTAATTTAAAAACGAAACGACACAGGACGAATGGTCCCAGAATCGCAGCTCCATACCAGTAAACAGAGTGTAGAGCGCTAAGAATAAAGAGTAGGCTCGTTATCATCCCTGAGGACCAAGATAGAATGCCTCGTTTCCAGTAAAAATGGTCACCGGCTCTCTACGCTCACTATACGAGTCTCTGAAAGATGTCTACAAATGTACGAAGATGTTGCACGTGTTTGTGCCATCTGTTGTAGACTAGTAGTGCATGAGATCTACGTATGGTGAAGTTCTTAAAGAACTGTATCTGCTATTGTAGTCACTTTTGGTGATAAGAGAGCTGGTTAATTTTTCACTTAAACGCTAAGAATAGATATTCAGCAAGGAAAGGTAGTCAGCGTTTTTGTCCCTATGCTATGAGGAGTACATACGTTATTTTGCAATAAACGGTCAAATTTGCGGGGAAAGTTTAGAATAAGTAATATAGGCAAATGGTGAAGAAAAATTAATTTTAAAAAATCTCAAAAATTTTGTTCTTTTTTATCTTTTAAATTCAAAATGCGTGGTAGCATTATTTTGAATGATTTAGCTGCGAACGCACACATTCGTAATAAATCACATTCAATTTGGGATAATTTCAAATAAAAGTAGAAGCCTTTATAGCCTAGCTAGATAGCCGTATTTTCAAAAACTGTAATAACGGTATATCATTATTAACATATTTGAACTTAAGTTTAAAATTTGCCTACTCTTTGAAAACTAACCCTGTATAAATAAAATTGAAGTGTCCATTCATAACATTGAAACTGACTTTTATTATTTATAAAGCTTTATAATAATTTAAAAATGTTTGCCTGTCTGTCGGTCCCGGCTAATCAGAAGAGTTAAACCGATGGTTGTGAAACTTTACGAACCACAGATAGCTATGCCAGTGGGGATCTAGGCTACATTTTTACCGACTGCAAAAAGGAAGAGGTATTCAATTCGACTGTATGTTCTTTCATGTGTGTTACCTCATAACATAACTTTTCTCGGGGCGAACCGATTTTGATGATTCTTTTTTATCTGAAAGCTGGAGCTTCTCGTGTGGTCCCATATAAATTTAATCAAAATCTGACCAGTAGTTTTGGAGTTATATTAAATAATGCATATTTAATTGACTTCGAATACATTATTTCGGTCGTATTGGAGTCGGTTGTACAAAATTTTTAATTTTACCACTTGTATTCATATAACTTGAATGTTTAAAAAAATTGATATTTATAAATGTAAATAACACTACAATAGTAGATCCCATATAGGCGAAGCCGGGGGAGGGTGGTTGCGTTTTAATAAATATTATATATTTTTATGTAACATCCTAACTGATTATGGACCCTTAATGCGTAAACGTAACACTCCTCTCGGAAACTATGTACTAAGTCTGAAAGAAGTGAAATTGCTCACAGCTAATGGACTCCTTCAATTCATTGAATACATAGGGCTTAGCAGTGAACTTTATCCATAGCAGCGATCACAATAGATCTTTTAGGCCGGTCTCTTTACCTAGACCTGCATAGCTGGTCTGCACAATATAAAAAAATATATAAAACTTACAAATTTTGTAAAACGTATATAAATAGATATAAGCACAATATATTTTTTTAACCCACACGTAATTGAATTTCCCAACACGTAAATGACAATAGCCGTTTGAGCCTAGTCATGGAAAAAAATAAAAATAAAACTCACCAACCACCGAAACCCATTTATGCGCATTTTCGAAGTTCAGCCCTTGGTAACCTAAAAATATTAGTAGGCAAGAAAATAAAATTTTATTCTTAGAAATTATTTTTACACGAGTGGAAAATGTCCCGTCCATAGTCTAATACAAAAATATACAATCACAATCACGTCCGTTTCTCGTCGTGACTTGGGCAGCGGCAGTATAGGGCCGTAAGCTAAGCCAGTAAGCATTGTGTTAAGATAATCACAAGAGTGGCTTATACTTTACGCTGTAGCGGGAGCGGAGGCATACACGTAGGTGTAAGCAGTTTTTCAACCAAATTCCAAAAGGAGGAGGTACTCAATTCCACTGTGTTTTTTTATCATCTCAGAACCTTTTTCTGAGAGAACCGATTTTGAATCTATTTTTATATGAAAGCTGGTGCTTTTCGTGTGGTTACATTTTCATATTTGATTGGATTCATATCTAATCAGTAGTTTTTTGAGTTATCCATAATAATGTGTATTAAATTAACTTCGAATACATTGATGAAGTTTTCATTTTATTTACGTAATATATGGAGGTCGGTTGTAAAATATTTTTAATTTTACCACTTGTTTTTATAGAATAAGCGTGGCAAATGAGCCAACAGTCCACCTGATGGTAAGTGGTACCACAGCCTACAGACCCCCTAAGGACTAAGATGGAATGCCTAATTTCCACTAAAAGTAGGACGGTTCCCTACACTCATCATACAAAACACAACAGCATTAAGCTGCTATTTCACAGTGGTATTCTATGAGAGCGTGCTCGTCCCTCGGTCGAGCTGACCTATTCGTGCTACAACCTCAATATAGCTGTAGCAAGGCTGTACCATGTAAAACGTAGTGGATATTCTTACATCGCCGCTACACGGTTATGTAATGAGGCCTTACTAATTTTTAAACAACTTCAGCACGTTTCGCCGAACGCTTATCACCAAATTAAATTGTAGGCTGAGTAGAATGGACCCGTTGTAACTTCACTGTTTACTTGATGTAGTTTATAATAGCGAAACGATACTTGGAATTTTATCTATGTTCTCATATTTATGAATAGCGGAACCCCTGTTTCGCCTCGATAGGATGTTGATATGACGTTATTTTAGCCTAATAGTAGAGTAAAAGTAAACAAGCAAAGTTACAGCCTATATACGTCTCACAGCTGGACACAGGCCTCCCCTCATTTCTGAGAGGGTTTTAGTCTTAATTAATGACTGCGAATAATAATAGAATTGGAGGCAGTGGCCAACAATAACCATATAAGTTGATTCATTAAGCTAATAACATTTAACTAACTACGTGAAATTTTCAAACTGTCTGTGGTATCAAGAAAACCTGCTTTGCAATGCGTGTTGGTGGACTTCACATGTCTTCAAAATATTATTTTCTTATTCCTCAGACATGCAGGTTTCCTCACGATGTTTTCCTTCACCGCCGAGCACGTGGTAAATTAGCACTTAAAATTGCAATTAACAACTTCATTGATGCCAACGGGGATCAAACCCGGGTTACTCGCGTTCTGTTATATTTACAGCGAGCGTTAACCATCTGAGCTATACTACGGCTCTTAATGCAGATGGCAGAATGCGGACCGCGAACTCAAAAGGTCGGGAATTCGAAACCAGCATTCAACTACTGTCGTGAATCACTCCTAACACAAGCATTTTAAGCTTACCAGAAGTGGTTAGGGAATTGGCAATCCAGTTAACAGCATTGCTAATTTTTTTCATTATTATCATCATCATCATCACCATCATTACAGCTCTTCACATTTTCACTGCTGAACATTGGCCTCCCCCAAGGAATGTCACAAAGCACGGTCCTAAACCACCTGCATACATCGACTTCCTGCATATCTTACCAGGCCGTCACTCCATCTAGTGAGGGGACGCCCCACATTTCGCCTGCCGGCACGAGGCTGCCACCCGAGAACCTTTTTCCCCCATCGGTTATCGGTTCTTCGAGCTATGTGGCCGGCCCATTGCCACTTCAGCTTTCTAATCCGTTGGGCTATGTCAGTTACTCTGGTTCTACTGCGGATATCCTCATTCCCAAGTTTAACACGCAGAGAAACTCCGAGCAAAGCCCTCTCCATAGCTCGCTGCTCCTCATACGGCTGTCAGTGAAGGACTACCTCTCAGATCCACAGGTCATCACTGGCAACACGCACTGGTTGTACAATCTAGTTTTGAGATTTTGAGGTATGCCTGACGAGAAGGTGTGTCGCAATCTACCGAACGCTGCCCAGCCGAGTTGAAACCGTCGATTGACCTCTCGGTCGAAGTTGGACCGAGAGGCGGACTACTTGTCCCAGGTAGATTATTTTATTTTACAACATTTTTTCAAAGAAGGCTATTTATTACATTTGTTATATGTACCTATATCAATTTTCGCTTTTTCAAAAACATCTTTAGTCAGGGCTAAATCTCTCCTGGCAATGTTCATATTAAAGTTTCATCGCAGTCGATTCAGCCGTTCGGGAGATTAGGCCGGACAAGCAGTTGGATAATAATTTTAAAAATGGTTATTTGTTTCTTAGTAGCATGCAAATAAACAAATAATTCTGAGAGCTTGGCCAAAGCCAGTTATTTCAATATACACAGACATTTTAATTTTGTTCCTATGTATATATAAATATTCACTAATAATAAATTAACTCTTAATTAGGCGCATGGGGTCAAGACAATTTCAAATTGAAAAAGTATTGTGTTTAAACACAGAGAACAGATCGCCAAGTGTCACGATCCTTACATACCTCTTTCGCTTCTTTCAGGTTCATTAACTTCTTCATACATGCACGTCTAGGTATCCGAGTACTCTTGACCCTCCCCTCTTCGAGCAATTTGCTCACATGGTCTTCGAAAGTTAGTCTCGGTCTACCTCGACACCTTTTAATATTTACTTTCGCTCTATATATTTTCTTCACCATTCGGATCTTCACTCATTCGCTCAACGTGCCCAAACCATTGGAGTACGCCCCTATCAATTTTTGTGATAAGGTCATCTTTCAATCCTGCCATATTGCGAATCTCTTCGTTTCGCTTTCGATCGGCTATGGTAACGCCACACATTTTACGAAGAGATCGCATCTCCACTGCATTCAACTTACTTTTATGCTTCTTCTGGCATACCCAAGTATCGCTGCCATATAACAAAGTCGGTACCAATACTGCGTTATGTATTGCAAGGCGTGCACTCTTCTCCACGCCTTGCCTTTTAACTAATGCATTCAGGGCACCATTGACTTTGTTTCCGGCAGCGACGCGCCTATCCACATCTGAATCACATCTTCCATCCAGGCTGAAAGCACTCCCCAAGTATACAATTTCATTTACCTGTTCTAGACGTTCATGATTTACCCATATTTCACATTTCGTTTTCTCTTCGTCCTTTTCAAATACCAGAACCTTAGTTTTATTAGCATTCAAACGGAGACCTTTAATTTCACATTCCTCTTTCATACACTGACTAATGCCTGCAGTTCTGCTTCTGATGGTGCAATAAGCACTGCATCATCAGCATACAGCAGACAATTTACTTTATGTCACCCAATTTCACACCCAAACAGCTATTTTTCAGCTTCTGTAAACAGCTGTCGAGATACAGTATGAACAGCCAGGAAGACATGACATAACCCTGTTTTACGCCCGCTTGGACGCTAAACATGGTGACAGGTCATGCCCTACCCGCACACAGGCTTTACAGTCATAGTAAAGTGACTGCACAGCCCTTAGCAATCGACCATCCACACCATATCCCGGCAACAGTTCCCACATTTTCTTCCTTATAACCTTATCAAATGCTTTCTCCAGATCCACAAAAGCACAGAAAATCCTCTGGTTAACACTCAGAAGCTTTTCCGTGATCATGCGGGAGAAAACATTTGATCCGTGCATACTCTTCCAGATCTAAATCCGCATTGTGCCTCCCATAAGAATCTTTCAGATTTCTCTTGCATCCTACGTGTCAAAACCTTCGAGTAAACTTTACTTGCTAAACTAGTCAAGCTGATCGCCCGATAGCACCCGCAGTCAAAATGTGAACCTTTACCTTTATATAAAGGCACAATGACCGCGGATCGCCAATCATCCGGGCCATCTCCCGTCCGCCAGCACAAGTTGCACAGCAGACGAAAGCTGTCCCAGACGCGAGGCCCACCGTACTTGACCATTTCAGCAGTAGCTCTGTCTAGTCTCGCAGCCTTACCACATTTCAAACTTCGAATCGCACGTTCAATCTCTTTCATGCTGATGACCTCAGTGTCATCGAGGTCCGTGTCTGGCGTGCCAGTCATGGCGTTACCCCCGGATCCTTCACTAAGATCATGACACGCATACATTTCTCTATAAAATTCACTCCATCGCTGCATGACGTCCGATTTTTCTGAGAGGACGTCATTGGTTCTCGAAAGCACTTTGTTCATTCTTAAGACTGTCGCACCACTCCGGGACCCTCCAACCTCTTTCCAGAAGAGTTTGGAGTTTTCCTTAAAGTTGTGCGACAACCTCTCGTCCGCTTCTGTTCTACACCTTTCACGTACTTCCTCAATCAATGTTTTCGCATGAACAACTTTCTGCAGTTTATATCTTTCTTTCATCTTCTCTCTCATATGCTTATCGTTACTAGAGGCCAAGTAGTCTAACCATGCTTTTTTCTTCTTTTTTACAGCTTCTCTCACTTCATCATTCCACCATGCATCTCTTCTTTAACTACTACCTCTTTTTGTCTTCTTCGACTTTCGAAGACCATGTGAGCAAATTGCTCGAAGAGGGGAAGGTCAAGAGTACTCGGATACCTAGACGTGCATGTATGAAGAAGTTAATGAACCTGAAAGAAGCGAAAGAGGTATGTAAGGATCGTGACACTTGGCGATCTGTTCTCTCTGGCTATCCCGTTAGGGATTGTGCGTGAAGATAAGTAAGTAAGTAAGTATTGTGTTTAAAGCGCGTGTTACTTGCGCTCTCTCTAGTTTTCTAATTCCCCGCGGAGTTAGCAAATTAGCCGTTGCCAGAACGTCTACGCGTACGTTCTACCATCGATCACTAATGTTTTTTATTAGTGATCGATGCGTTCTACGCAGAGTTCGCTATTAGGTACTCTCTTGGGTGCTAACCAGTTAGTGTATGTAATATATAAATCAATCAGTGCTAACCTCATGCGACCACTTATGTAACATTTTTAGGCGGAGCGGAGGTAAGTTTTAATTATTGTGTTTTTACTAGATTGTATTCGTATATTGTCATTTGTTTTTATTAGTATTTGTATATTGTTATGATGCATATTTATTTTACCTATTTTAGTCTTTATTTTTATTAAATTGTCTTTTTTCAGTTTGCAATTTTAATATGACTCGCAAAAGATACTGCAATAGTTGGCGAATGTGTCCGGCGATAAGTAATATATATTGTTGGTTCGCTAATGCTATCAGTAATTTTGTATTCTGATAAGAGTAACACACACATAAGTCGTATTTTTGAATAAATTAGCAGCAGCACTTGCAGGAAATGACTGTGCCGTCCCTAATTCAACGAAAAATCTGCAAACGCAAAAAGTGTGGTGTGTCGGATAAAGATGGAAGAATCTGCTGATGAATCGAATTAATTTTTTTTAAGTTGATCACGACTAAACAAAAATACGTAGTTTAAAGGGTTTTGTTATTTTTTAATTGCTTCAATTCAATGATATATTTTAATTTATTTAAATTAATTATAACAAAAAAAAAATTAAAGGTTTCGACAAAACGTACTTTGTTTTAATTATTTCTAACATCTATTTTTAAATATTTATTTGGGGTCACAAGAGACCCCGTGCGACTAATTGTGTGATTTTCTTCATGCGCCTAATTAAGAGTTAATAATAATGAAGACTGTAATTGAATACTTTGTAAAGAGCACGGGTTATATCTTGGTTCGATCTTTCTACAGATACGGTAACATCCTATCAAAGACCACTGCTGGACATAGGCCTTCCCAGTTTGCCACACAGAGGGTGTATTTAGAAATGGTTGGCACGCTTGGAAGTCGGGTTTGCAACCGCAGTATTTCTTTTTTTGTTCACGATATGCGAAACCGGGCGAGATGCTAGTATAATATTATAAATGTGAAGGTTTGTTTGTTACGCTTTCACGTAAAAACTACTGTCTGAGTTTGAATGAAATTTTGCACACATTTTCATTTCGTCATCACTGCTTCATCCCGATAAAAGGATCCCGTGGGATAATTTTAAATGTTGATCCATATCAGGCGAACGAAGTCGCAGACGGACGCTGGTAAAAATAAACAATGACGAATAGATTACAGTAAATAATATAGATAGGTAAATAGACAATAAAACGAAGTAGACGATTTTATTTTAACAATGATATTTGTGTTCTGGACGTGGGAGAAGTTTTGGGATTCCAGTTTGAGCCGTTCGAGGTTTATTGGTTAGGGGCCAAAAAGTTATATGTATTCAATTTATAAAAGTTTTTCGAACTTCGTTCAGGTAAGCCAAGGGGCCCCTTGAGCTTGGAGGCCCCAGGACACTGCCCTGCCCCCACGTAGCTAGGTAGCTACCCCACTGATCATGGTGCTACCAAGTTTGAAGTTCTATTAGAAACACGCTTTTACCGAGTTCCCCTCTTAAGACTCTCATGGACGATATGGTATTAGAGGATATATTTACACCTGCACTGCACGATCGTTAATAAGCTAATAAGTAAATAAAAATTTTATCATATACTTTAACTGAGTTAAACTTACAGCCTTCGAAGTCCCACTCCTGGAAACAGGCCTCATCTCATTGCTGAGGTTTTAGGAATAGGTAAAGTCCGCCGCGCTGCCCCAATGCGTGTTGGTCTACACATGTCTTCGAATTGTTTTTTTAATTTCGGTTCCTCACCGGCCGGTTCCTCTCAATGTTTCTGGTTTGTTTTCCTCTGTCCCCTCTTACGACACCCAGGACACGATATGAGGTAGTAAATATTATACATTATGCTGAGGACTTGTACTGCGGAATTGCCTTAAGTTCTTTCGTGTCTTTTTCGGTAGGCCTACTCTTCATACATTTTCTCGAAGTATTGGAAGACAAATTTTGTGCGACCGAAAGAAGAAGGTAACCACTCTGATGCGTCCACCTACAGGCTCTCTCTTTTTCCTCAATTTAAAGACACTCCCTTTATAGCCTCATCGTCAAATCGACGCCGAGGATAGACTTATTTCTGATCATCTTAACTAACAGACGATGCGAAGATATTTATATTGCATCTAATTGCATATTATATCTCTACCACGGGGATTAGTAATTTCACCATCGTCCGTACCATATGGATGATTGGCGATCCACCACTGCGATTTACCAGAAGTTTTCTTCATCGAATAACCAATGATTTCCGGCCCGATACGACTTAGTGAACTTCAAGGAAAGAAACTACCTACTTCTTTTAAAAGGTCGGCATTGCACCAGCAATATCCCTGGTGTTACAGTTATTCATGCGCGGCAGTAATCACTTACTATCAGGTGAACCCCATGATTGCTTGCCCCCTCTATAAAAAAATATTAGATATACTCACCGATGAATATTGCACTAACAAAAACTATCTGTGCAGCATACACATACATTCTTTTTTCTTTCATCCTGAAAACAAATCATGCAGTAAATAATTTTTCACATGAGTTTAGCTTTTGTGAGATTTTTGTACAAAAGTGTCAGAGTGCTCGAAGATATTTACAAAATGTATCTTTTAACGTAACGTAAAAGCAGATTTCAAATAACTATAATAACTTTACATGTGATAGAACCACGGTGTAGCTATATTGTGGTTAGCACGAATTGGTCGGTACGACCGGGGTGGGATCACGCCCTCACAGAATACCAGAAAAATAGCACCGTTTCGTATGGTGAGTATAGAGAAAAGAATAAACCAAACTATGGATATTACAAAAGTAGAAAAATTCATAAACTAAAAAGTATACCACTGAGGCATTGTTTTGTGTATTAATATAATATCAAAGACATTTAAATATAGCTCACACCACAAGTCATGAAACTGCGCAGAAGCGGAAAATGTCAGGTGTGTCAGTCAGCACGGTGCTGTGTGAGGTACGGGAAGACGGGCGACGCGCTACTCTCTCGTAGTCTCCCTGCGTCCCGTCGCCCGCGCACCTCCTTGTGTCGTCATGCGTACTATCAATATCGAAAGTGTTAGCGACTACCTGTTATAAAATTTTTAAATTTTTGCGATTATTTGCGTACTTTTAAAAATTTTGTTGTATAATATTTGCAGATAGTGTGCAAATATTTATTATTTTGTTAATTATTTTTGGAATATATTAAATAGCGTAGTTCATAGTATATTGTATAAAGTTGTAAATATTTTGTTATTTTCTACAAGTTGATTTTTTTTTTGCAAATTATTGCACGGATTTTGGGAAAGAGACACACCTAAAAGGGACACACCCCCCGATAAAACAAACACAAAACCTCCCCCGGCCGCCCCCCCCCTAAGATATCCCTATAATCGAAGGCTATTGCATAGTATAGTTTAATCAGCAATTACAAATACAAAAATACAAATAAAAATATTTTGTTTCTTTGACTAAATGTACATAAAATACAGAATATTATTTAGAAGCAATTAAAACCTAGCGTTGATTACATAAAAATATCGTTTCGTTTCGTGGAGACTATATAATGTCGACCTTTAACTTTTTACATATTAAAATGCCATAATAAAATTTTCATTTTGTGCTTGATGGTACGTGCGCAGTGTACGAGTATGGTATTTAATTTCATGATTCATGGCGCGACCCATAGTAGTAGTAAGAGACCGGACATCTAACACTAATACTAAAACACTAGACACTAAGCTCAAAATTGTCGACGATTATGTTTACCTAGGCCAAACTGTCCGACTAGTACCGTTTCTGAAGTGTCCAGTTATATGCCCGGATAAACGTCAGTTGACTGTCACTGCGTTTCTAAATCTAAATATGTCTTACGCAAATCGTTCAACAACATTGAAATCAATAACAAGTTCCATAATTTGCCGCTAGATGGGTCTGTTTAAGAGGTCGAGTCTAAAATTGATGTTATTTTATTAATAAAATTTTCATTATAACTAGTTACATTTATAAACTTTTTTGATGCTAAATGAAATGAAATGAATGATTTTATTCAATATACATTATTGTATAATACTTATTGAACGTCATTTTTTATTTACCACTGGTTCGCAAAAAACCACTGTCCTGGGAAGAACCAGCAAGAAACCCAGCGGGACTTTTTTTTAAACATATTTCAATTTACAATGAATTTATTTTGTACAATTTTTGTATGAATTTTTATAGAACCAGCATAGTGGCGATCACCTCATTCCCAGGGGTTATTTTCATTTATTTATTCATTTATATTATAATAACCCTTTTTGTACAACTTTTCTTTAGCAAAACATTGAAACTTGTTTAATGACAAATTTTGTAAATTTTCTGGGATTTTGTTGTTAAAGCGAAGCATTGCCCCATAAATGAATTACTAATTCCGTGGAGTCTAGTAACTGGTATTACAAGCTTATTTTTGTTCCTAGTGTTCAAAGTATGAACATCTTTATTCTTATTAAAGCTATTTATGTTTTTATGTACATACATAACATTTTCATAAATATATTGCGATGCCAAAGTTTAATATGTTTATTTCCTAAAATTTTCTCTAAGCGACTCTTTACAATTTAAGTTATAAATTGCCCGTATGGCTCTTTTGCAAAACAAATATGACTTCACTGTCAGTCACATTACCCCATAGTAAGATTCCATTAAACAAGATTCTACCTACTATCAAATATCGTCCCGTGGGTGTAGTAAGAGGCGACAGAGGAAAATAAAACAGGAGATGGGTAGCAGCGTTTTCCTAATAACAGCTTAAAAAAACTGCGTTTGTCAACCCGCCTGTCAAGCGTGGAAATTCTGCCAAATATTTTTTTTACATGAAGAAATGTCTATGTATACGCCTCGCCTCATTGCGCTATGAAAGTAACTAAAATAAACTAATCTAGGTGTCTCAAAATGGGTTAGGCTTCTAATCTTTCTTATAGCATAATATGCTTGCAGAACTAAGTTTGTCTGCTAATTTAGATATATGGAGCCCCATTGAAGCTTCGCGTCAATAGTAATACCAAGAAAAACAGTGGTATCCACAAGACTCAACTCTTCCCAAAATAAGAGCACATTGGTATTTGAATGTTTAACGTTAGGTATTGTAAATTTAATACATTTTGTTTCATTGCCATTTAAGAACAAATTATTTAGCGTTAAACCAATGTACTAGTTTCGATAGAGCATTATTTACTTGAAAATTAATGAGGTATCATCAGCAAATAATACTGTTACGCGCCTAAGTCGACGACACTAGCGCCATCTAGTGTCAGAGACGAGAGCGAGGGGAGCTTTCCAGAAAATGACATCACTCATCTTTCAACCGACAGCGCCATCTAGTATCGAATTGAAGAACTAAGCTTTCTGGAAGCCTCACACTCGAACTTTCTGCGCTTGGTCGGTTGGCGCGCGTATTTACTCGAATATTCTGGATGTTTCGTGGAAGAGCCCTATATAAAGGTGCTGCAATACGCGATTGGGGAAGTATTGAATTTGGCGAGACAAGCGAAGCTTCGGAGCGGAATAAAGTGAATCAGTGTGAATAATTGGTGTTTTAAGTTTTAATTTGTGTAAAGAAAATTAAAGTGTTAATTTAGGTAATTCTATCGGCAATTTTTATTGTCACGAACCTCAAGCTCGTAACAATTGGTGTCAGAAGTGGGATAAAATCATGCCAATTTTACCTAAGGAGGAAACGGAGGGTGTCCGCACCCGAAGTCAACGCCAGCAGGAGACGGACCAAAGAAGATTTGGTGGTGCAATGCCGCAGACTTCGGAGCAGGCCGGCTGCAGGCCCGTCAGTGGCTCCTACATCTGCAGCACCTGACTTAGGTGCTCTGATGGTGATGCTGCAGGAGCCGGCTCGCCGACAGGAGGAACAGGTCCGCCTGTTGGAAGAGCAGCTGCGGGGCGGACAGGATGAACAGGCCCGCCGACAAGAGGAACAGGCCCGCCGACAAGAGGAACAGGCCCGCCGACAGGAGGAACAGGCCCTTCGGTTGGAAGATCAGCAGGCGGAACAGGCTCGTCGGTCGGAAGAGCAGATGCTCCTCATGAAGGACTGAAGGTCCTTCATGAGGAGCTACCTAGGATGCTACCTTTGGGAAAGAGATAAGGGAGGTGAAGGATAGGCTTGCTCAACATGACAACCGCCTGTCGGAAGATGAAACCCAAATCAAGGAAGCTAAAACCCAAATCGACCAAGTGAACAATCGGGTTGATTACGTGGTGGCTGACGTGAAGAAAACGCTGGACGACCTCAAACTGGGTGATGGAACTACAGCTCCCGTAGTAGCTACTACACCTTCGCTACATGGGTTCAAGGTGCCACCGTTCGACTGGACTTCTACCTGGTCAGCCTACAAAATCCAGTTCGAGGCTGTTACGAAAGCGAACGGCTGGAATAAAAGTCAGGCCATGACTGCTCTCACACTAGGTATGCGCGACCAGGCCTAAACAGTTTTGCAAGCTCTCGGTGAGGAAGTGACTTATGAGCAACTCCTTGAGGCATTGGAGGCGAGATATGGCGACGCTCACCTGGAACACGTCTTTCGTGCGCAGCGTAAAGATCGCGTGCAGCATATCAACGAAAACCTGCAGCAGTGGGCTCTAGAGGTGGAGAAGCTGGTGCGAAAAGCATACCGGTCTGTACCTGCGCTCATTGAAGGGAACCTGGTGCAGACATTCATCGACGGCATCCGCGACCTGGAAGTCAGAGCTGCTGTGAGGCTCGGGCACCACGAGACGCTTAAGGACGCCTTGGCCCATGCACTGGAGGTGGAAGCCGTGCGGCAGGATCATCGTTCCCATCGCGTCAGGGAGGTTGCAGCAGCTACAGTTCGCGACTGCAACAAAGGACACAGCCCTAGGTGCTATAGCTGTGGGGAAAGGGGCCATCTTCGATCCAGCTGCCCTAAGCGAACCCTGAAAAGGGATGGTGTACGATCTCAGAAGGGAAGGGCGGCTAACATCACCGCCCACCAGCAGAAGGAATACGACTTAACTATCAGATATCGCAGTGGGAAATCTCATGGCAACGCAGATGCATTGTCAAGAAGACCTTGTCCTGAAGATTGCAAACATTGTACTAGGCAAGAGAGTAAGGAAGTGGTATCCGTGAGGATGCTCAGGACAGACCACCTCAGCAACGAGTGGAAGGATAGCCTACGTCATGCACAGCAGGAAGATCCGGACATCAAGCCGATTCTGGAATCGATGAAGGCCCGTGCTACCAAGCCTAAGTGGAGCGACGTCGCAGCGATGAGTTCAACCACGAAAAGCTATTGGGCCCAATGGGACAGCTTGCTGATTCATGATGGAGTCCTGTGCCGTAAATGGGACAATGGTCGAGGAGATAACTGTCGTTTGCAAATGGTTGTCCCTAAACCTAAAGTGCCGAATGTTCTACAGCTGTGCCATAATGGTCGTTCAAGAGTCCATCTGGGAGTTAAACGAACTCTACTGAAGGTCCG